CCCTGCAGGCAACTAGAAGCAAAGGAGCGGTGGGGTGCAATACGTCGCGAAATCTGGTATTGGAAGAATTATTCGTTATTTGAATGCACAAGAACAAACAACGTACACAACAGCGAAACAAAAAATAGAAATAAAGAACGACGAAGAGAAAATAGATTCACAGAAAGAATATTAATGCAGATGAATATTTAATTGCATCTGTCAACAAGCGAAGTCGATTCAGGCAGCTTTCGTCTTTTTCATTTCTCGCTCTGCAGAGTCTGAGTCGTCAGCGAAATCACAGATTTTCTGCTTCGCAAAAATGCAGACATATTGGATCTTGTGGAACGAGGCGTAGAAGTGCATTTCGAAAGAACCTTTTGCAAGGGAAGGATAGAATCGAAACAAATTTACCAACATTTACAACAGATCTCAAAATCTGATCTACCACGATATTTGTGAGAAACAGGACAGCTGATCCGTTCTGCTACTAATTTCAGAACTGACCAAAATTTGCGTAGGTCTAATTCATGAAAGGAGAATAAGTATACTGACGAAGCATGTATAATTAAGTGAAATACGCAGGTTCTTCGAACCAGAGATTTGTAATCAAATGAGACGTTTAAAAAAGTAGCTACACCATCGCATTTCGATGACTGTAAATGTAAATTTCACCTGTCGGTAACACCAAACAGTTTGCGTTGAGAATCCTGGTCTTGCTAATGACAAAATTCATCGATTTGTCCATTTTTGTGCATGACGGCCAGCAGTAAAATATTGCATCAATCACAAATGCGATTAAAATTGTCGATCTTGAACACCTACCGCCTCGCAGTTGTTATTTTCCATAGCGATCAACGAAACAACTCCAAGCTCTCCTCCATCATTTCGATATTACTCTGACGCTGCAAGATTCTTCTGTAGCTTAATCGCTGTTTTTTACATTTATGACCTACCATGGTAAGAACTCCAAGTGAAACTTAGTCCAATCATTAAAACCGATTGCCATGTGATTGTAAAATATTAAGCAAGGTTTCGCCCTGTTCGTAAAAGAGCTAAGTAAATTTGAATTTGACACCGCAGATGTGAAACCCTGTTATTAACCGTGCTTCTATTGTCCATTTGTATGTTCAAATGTACCTGCTGATGTGAAACAACATGACAGGCATTCAGCTTCTCCAGTGATCAAACAAAACATCAACAACCAGTTGAATCTTCTCGTTTACTTATTTGGAGCTACCTCATCGCACTCTTTTGAACGAAGCTCAAAACGAGAAGCAAGGAATATATAAAGAGAGATCGGTGCTCTCCAAAAAACAAGTGTAATAAAAACCTCGAGAAACGAAATGGTTCTGATGCAAATAAACTTTTAGACTTTTTAAGAAAATCATTACCGTTAATTTAATCCACTTCTAGGCACTTCGTCAGACAATTTCGATAAAATTAAAACCCCTGAGGAACCATTAATAATTTTACCAATAGTGCTGTTCTCTAGTTAACTAAAACAGTTAACGTTTCTGGTATGCGATGCGATGAGTACTGCTCGCACAGCCCTTCAAAACACTGCTGCAAGACAGCAGTCACAACAGCTAAAAGTCATTTCTTCATAAAGCAGATTTTCTTCTCTCTTGTTCATCCTGGCCTTCTGATAAATATTTCCTGCGCTTCATTTCTAATGCGAAAACCTCGCAAGCAATGAAAAAAAGACTTACACTTTACCAATTTGTGAAATTCGGCAAATTTTGTTTTTCCTGAAGAAGCAAGAATTCCTTTCCATAAAGTTTTTTCCTGTTTTTTTCAGTCAATTATTTTAATCTCACTGCTGTTGTTATTGCTCTTTCGTTATTTTTTTTAAATTTTTTGTCGTCTAATTTTTGTTTTTGTTCTTTTTTCCTCATTCCCATTCTTCTCATTTATTTTTAGTATTTGTGTCAGTCATCGTTTTGTCATGATTTCTATGCTGCCCAACAACACTGATCTGACTAAAGGAAAGCGCAGACGAGCTTTGCGAAAAGGGACAATTCTTCACCAAACTACACACAGTAAGTAGACATTACCACAAACTGCAGATCATAGGATAATCAAATGAAATAAACAACATCTACCTTCACGGCCAGCAATTGATTTTAAATCGCCAAGGCAACAGACTCGGGAGCTAGTTCCAACTGGTCAAGTGTTTCGTCAACAATCGAGCAACTTTCAATGGCTTTTTAAGGCACGGTAATGCCAAGTGCTGGATATACACCTGACCTTCGGCCCTTGGTTTAATCCTTTATCTTTCTATCAAAAGAGACGGCTTTGCCGAGGGAGTCATCCCTGCAGACCTCTCCTTTAGAATCCTGGTCGTGTGCCTAAAACCGGGTTATTCTGATCCTTTGAAACAACATAACTTAGTAAAATCGCCCGAGTATTCACAAAACATTAGATGACACACTCAATGAGAGAATTCGCTCTGACGAGAAGACATGGCATGCACAGAAATAAAAAACAGTATTGCTATTAGTGGATTCTGCTTAATAGTGAGCCTTTGGCGAGACCTGAACTTACAAATAATGTTACATCATCAGAGTGCCAACGTTCATTCACAAATGGGTCGGTCTTGTAACGCTAGAATACCCATATACCGTGAAGAACATATCCAAAATTACATAAAAAGATATCCAATTTATATGCCACTGTGTAATAACATTCTGTACAGCCATATGATATAGTACACAATAAAGTTTTCTATGGTATCAAATAGGTTAACCTACAAGATAAGACAAGGCATGACAGCAAAAAATCAGCAATTAGTCATTATTAGCTTAATAAACAACTAAATTATACAAAAAGGCAGAAAAGCATACTGAGTGCACCAAACGAAAGCAAAAGGAAAGCAAATGATCTACCTCCAATTGAGAAAATAGCAGCTCCTTTTAATTTTATACTAACAAAGTCTTATAACACCAGCAACAGTACAAAGAGGTAAAGAGGCTGTAATTATATCTTGGTAAATTTGACAAATGCAGTTGCCAAAAGGTTTTACAAAGGCGGTTGCATAACCCGCTGCCTATTTCCGGACTGCAGTAGTGTATTTAACACCGTGCACCGTAAAAAGCTTTTAGCAGTTCTTTGTTCCCTGAGTATTCATTCAAAGGCCATGCCATGCATTTCATAGCCAACTAAACCCCCGACAACCCGCAGTTCATACGGGCCAAAGGACGAAAATCTTCCACTGTGTCAAACAATTTATGAATTCTTCAGTGACCAATTTTGTCTTCTCTTCTTTTCTCAGTATACGCTAAAGCATGCAAAGTCAACTACATAAATAAATGCAAAAGTATGCCAGTGATACTGTCATAATGAGCGCAGTTACTTTAGCAGATAACCTCATTGGGAATTTTTGCGCACTTACGCCCATTCAAGATTGGTAAGGGTAAAATAGCTTACTCAATAATGAGAGTAAAGCCAACTAATGCTTATTTACACTTAACATCTCTGTAATACATTAATCGACTGCCTCATCCCCTCTAATTTGCTACAGAACCAAAAGATAGACATAGTTCTCAGCACAAACTATTTTTGGTGGCACCAGAGACGAAAGACTTTAGCTCAGTGTCAAACAGAAAAAGTATAATCAAAGTAAGATGATGAAGCTGTTTGTAAACGTCTAACATCATTATAAATTTTCAAAGGAATCGCTGATCTGTTTTGTGAGAACGTGCACTTCTTCTAATTACATATGCCTCTTTTCCTTCATACGACAAGATCTTATGCAAATTTCGACCAGTTCTGAAAACTGTACGAATGGAAAGCCAGCTATCCTATTTGAATGTCGTAAATATAATCATATATCAGTTTATAAGATCTATTGTAAAGGTGCGTAAATCTATTCAAGCAGACCCTCTCCACCCCTTGCACCAGATTCTTACAAAATGCGTGGCATGTGGGCACAGCTGTCTAAGAGATCTGCCGATCTACGTTCAGAAAGAAATTTACCACACAGTACTTCAGACCGGAGTTGCCACACTAGTAGAGTGTCGAACTCAGAACCGAAAAGTTCCTCGAGTTGAAGTTGATAAGCGAGTACTACCCTGGTGGAAGGAAACAGGGGATTAAAAGATACGTTTGCCACATAGCTGTAAACTCTGCCTTCCTAGTTGATGGTATAGAAACGAAGTCCAAAATCGCACAATCAACTTTATGAAAAGAAGGGCGCCAAAATGGCCCAATCATAGAAATGAAGGAAGAACGTTGACCAACTTTCGTTTTCTTTACCTACAAAATGCATTCGAAATCTCATTTCACAAGGTACTGTCAATATGCCAATATGCATGCATCTCTGCCAGGAATGAAGCACAGAGAAGATTTACGATGCAACAGGTGACTTGGACTCCAGAAAAGGAGGATGAGAAAGGCGGAATCGGCTCGCATTGATCTTCATATATTAAACCATAGACTTAGACATTCATCTATATCGACTTTCTGTTCAGAGATCTGTTTCTTCTTCATCATTCATTATTTCTTGTCTCAACGCTGTGTATTTTGTTTGCTCTTGTGCACTTACGTAAACTGTTATTCCAAAGCATCACTGATTACTGAAATGTTAATCGCTGCTAGTCTTTCCTGTTAATTGCCCTAATTTAAGTAATTCTTACTGACTGACTGATTAGTTAAAATGAAGCACTGTCAACTTCAACATGTACGATATTCTATTATATAATATGCCACATAAACAGAGAGCTACCAAAATACTTAACAGTCAACCACAGTTTGCGTTTCATACGTTCAAACAGAAAAGTGCATATATAACGTTTTGGAATATCACATTAGGAGCCAAAACAATTTTAACAAACGGACAGGTATCAATTCAATCATAACCATATAAAAAACGGAGTTTCGGACTAAGAAGATCTCGGTTAAGACGTTTTAAATTATTTAGGATAAATTATGAAAATAGAAAAACGATTTAGAATTTCTCGTAGAACAGAGATATACGAAATCATGACTGAGGCAGTTCATCAGCGGGTTACCTCCAATGCTGTAGCGTTCGGGAACGGCGAGACTGAGCAACTTGCGGATCTCGTTCAGCTTCGGCTTGGACAATGCGAGGCCACGAACGGCAGCCCCGGCATGGAGTCCGTTGCGAGGCGTCAAACGGCTATTGAGCAATCGCCTCAGGACAACGTGCAGACGAGAGGAGGTTGACGGTGAGCGACACTTGGCGGTGGCGGCGAAGAGCAACAGCAGGCGACGGGGTAGCAGCATGTTGTAGGCGAAGAAAGGAGGGCCGGAAGAGATTCGGTAATGGCGACTGTCACTTCGAGGAAACAGATCGTACCTTCGTACCCGGAAGCTCTTTTTCCAAACACGTAGAGGCAAACAGCAGAAGGCGATATAGCAAAAACCGCCCTACGACTATGGACGGCGCTCCGTATTGTGTCTAGCAACAGAATTGAGTCGACTACTCAACGTCTGGCACGCGCGAGTCTGGCGTTCGAAGATCGATCGACGATCAGATCAAATTGCCACCGGCTAAAGAAGACTGCATCTCCGCGCTACCTCAAAACTGACAGAAGAACCACAGGTTAGAGGAGGCCGGGTCATCACTTCGAGTTTCTTCCTTGTTCCGATTGCCACTACTAGCGTTTAAGATCATCGACTGTCAACTTTTCACACTTATTCGTGAACGAAACACGCTCGATGTAACAAAAAGTTCGAATTTCAGCTACGATAATCTGTTCAAAGAAAAACAATCGTAGCTCGATATCAACCATTCACATACTGACCGGTTTCCACTTCGTTTAGCATACTCACTGCTTTCCATCTTAACCTGTTCTCAGACATGAAGAGAAGAAAAGTAAGCAATTTATTTTACTACCTCAAATAAGTATATATCATGCATCATGTTACCAAAAACACCGAGTTACGGAACAGAGAGTCCAATTTGCATGATTCATGCTCATTTCAGAGTTTACCCAGAAAAACTACGCCGGATTGGTTGGTTACCGTAAGCGATCCAGCTGATTTGTAGCAGACATACTTCAAAATCACGCAAGACTATAAAGTCGATTAAATATTTAAACATTCTTAAAGATTGAGCCAAATGTTTTTCACAACGGAGGAGAAGAGAATTCACAGAAACAATGTTGATAATTAAACGTTAACCATGATTCATGTTCAATAGCAGATATTGAATTACAAGAACAAACTTTTAACAATTACGGCAAGTGGCCAAAATAAGTCAACCCTTTGGGAAAAGGCGATCACCACTTATTCTTTCGGGTCTGGGAGGTAGCAATGTCAGATTTTGTGTCTAACGTTTCCTCACTTAAAACAGCGCATGAGTGTCGCAGAAAATAATTCGAATCTCGTGCAAATTCTGTCGATCCACTTGCCCCAAGTCATTTAACCCTTCTGGTGGCATTTGGCCTGTCGGTCGACAGGATATTTGCTGTTTCGCTTTCTTTCAAGAAACGTTTTCAAACATTCCCAAACAAATGTAAATAAGGCAACATTGAGAGGAAGTGACGGCATATCAAGATTTACTCAAATATCTGAGCCACGACCATGCTGGGACGCGTGAGCCCAGCAATTCATCTCAGTTGCTTGCGTTCTTTGAAGTCGTGACCTACCATTCATAAGTATAGGCGATTATGCGGATAAAATAAACTTGAACGTTGCCAGTTTCGTCATCACACTGACAGCAGTTCTGCATACTTCGGGATAGAGCGTTGCTGGCTTTCCAGATTTGACGATTAATTTTTTCCTAATAAAATGGAATTCAAAATATGTACCTGGACTGAGTGAAGGCGCTATGTGTGGCATTCACAGTATCGTTACCTGAATAAAATTCTGAATTACATATATCTGAGTGCCATAGTTCAAGCAGATCTAATACATTTATATCGTGGAGAGAACTAGCGATATAGCCAGTCTATGCAGGCATTTTTAAGTAATGGAAACTTTATGATTCGCATTGATACTTACGCTTCATTTTCAAGGCCGCTATTTTATAGAGGCAGCACCTCATCCAAATGCCTTTTCAACGGTTCATGTCACGTAATTATTCAAGTGCAAGCCAGGGTGCAAAGAAATAAATAGTCAAACCGGCGAATTGATAACTGAAACCACTGAGGTCCTAGTAGCTTAGCCGATTATAACTGCTTTAAGTTACATAATATGCATCGTAAACTTCACTTTTTGATAAGCCGAGACATACTAAAGCGCAATTTTCAAAAACTAGCGACCAACCTTCTGATGAAGAATCATAATGGCAGGAGAAGATCGGCTTTATTACCATGGGAGAAGATTATTTTCATATAAAAATTTTTCTGTTCATCAATCGAACTGTAAAAGTTGTCAGAAAACCTGCATTTGAGTGACACAAAAAGTTCAGAACGCACTTAACAAAAATACGCAACAGCTGTTTTCTCCGAGGAATAATACTCTGGTAGAAATAGAAAGAGAATAAACAAATCTCTCCTTGAATACACTATGAAAGAAGGTCACTTTCATTCTGAAACAGCATGAAAAAGGTGTGGCGCAGAACAAACTACTGGACGCGAACGAAAGATTAGAAAAGAACTCTTGATACGAGCAAGTAAATGTCTGAATAGAGACAACAGCGATGTTTGACGTCATTCTGGAAAAAAAAATAACAAAGAAGTTGATGAAGAAGACCATGACTAAATTACGTGTCAATCTGTCAACTTGAATTACATTATTTATCACCATTTTGTGTTTATCGTATTTATCTCCTAAAATCATTTAAAACGCCATTGGTAACATTGGCTTTGTACTTCATGATCTACAGTGTCGCGAGAAAAAGAATCTACTTTGATACGAAACATCGAAATTTTTTTAAAACAAGATTTATGTAGCAGTAAACGCTTTGATAATTTTGACAATAATTTGATATATCGAAAAATTGTAACACACCAGCACTTCGATTATGCTATCCAGTTTTAAACGAAACCCACTTAGATGACTTTACTGTTGAAAGAGTGGGACCGTACGGCATGTATATTTTTTGATTTTCGAACACTTTTTTCGTCGTTCTGTGTTATTCTCTTACCTGCGGAGAGATGTTTTATTTTGTTTGGATAGAAAACTTTTGCATTTAAAAATATTGCAAAAACTTAGTTTGAAAAATTAAGGTTGCCTAGTTTCGAAAGTTTGTTGCTTAAACAAGATTATAAACGAATAATCAATTTCCGTGTAAATTAAATCTTAAAATTAGTAAATGAAGCATGTGCTTTGTATAGCACAACAGAGAAAAATGATCAGACTAGAAAACAGAATATGTCAAGCAAATAACAGCTCCTTAACATGCGACACAATGCTACACTGATTTCTAGTGATGATCCTTGTGCGGCATTCAGATTTCGTTAACGAAAACCGAATATGGTATTAACGTTTTGTTCACCATATTTAAGATCGATATGATACTCCATTTATCGTCTAGTTATACTCGATATTGTCTTGTGCTATACCGTAGAAACATGCCATGTTGTTTCTTTCTTTGACATAAGTTCCGCTGTTAATAGACAAGTTGTGTGTGAGCTAATAAACTTTCGACTTTGAAATATATAGCTAAATCTAGTTTCTTTGATCACTAACTTTCTAAAGTCAATCGATCTAGCCTCGGTGAAAAAATTACGTTTCTATTGGACAGCCAATCACCTCAGTAGAATACTGGCCCTACGGTATCATCAGAGGAGTAAGTTTGAGATCGAGCATTGTTTAAAGATCGAAACTTCTCGATCGTTATTGTGTTTGAAGAAGAAGCAGAGGTAGATCAGTGCGTGCTTCTAGTACTAATGTGTTAATGCGCAAAATGAACCTTAAGCACGGAAGCTAGTCACAAAATACAAACTACTCAACGCAGCATGGCAAGGGGTACACGACGGAAATAACTAGAAGAAATAAAACGATCAAATTGGTAAAATCAGTAATTGGAGACAGCTTGAAATAGAAATGGATTGGACATGTTACAGGAAGAAGTTTTCATCGTAAATAAATAGGTATTACACTCGGTTCCAAGAAATTAAATTAAACAATTAAACAATGAGCCTTCAGAGCGTGGCAGGGGAAGGAAAATATGGTGGTACAAAGTGGTAAGAACTTCAAATGGCAAAACCCTGTTGAAAGATATAGAAGATATTGCCTTCGTCCAGCAATGAAACGAAAATGGCTCTGCTGCTGATGATCATGCTCAAAATTTTGTAACATGAAGAGAAACTCGTTGGGTTTCAACTATCGACTAAATCTAGTGTACGATAAATGCCATCTATTAAAAATCTAAGGAGAGACCGCACAAAATTGTATTATTTCCCGGTATCAGGTGATGTAAGGAGCATTACTGGTGCTCAGAGGCTTTCATCTCTTGATGTCAGTCGTCCAATGTCGTCCAGATCATCTGCTTTGTGTTAATTTGGTGAATTGCCATTCTTGGCTCAGCATGATCAGTACATACCTAGTACCATTGTCATGTACTGTTTTTGCCTTGAACCATGGATCAATAATCGATTACCATTAAATGATGGGTACATTTTCACAGGCCGTTTTTGGAAGTCAAGCGGAATAGTTTCTTAGGAAAGTGAAGGAAGAAAAGTTTGCAGTCTTTAGAAGGTCGGTCTTCCACGTATTTCATGATTTAGCCATTCTGCCGCCCTTTTGCTAATTAAGTCAATGGTATGGAGCTCCTCTCCATTTCCATTCCATCAGTCACGATGCCTTCTTTAAGGCACAGTTGACAGAAGCTATATGATAACCATGGCTCAGAGACTGCTGTTTCTTTCCCACAGAGTGGCACTCATTTGTCAGCCTTGGAAAGAGAACAATGATTCTGCCGGGCCTCAACCGGGACGCTCTCGAATGAGTCAAACTCTCTACGGAGTGACCATCCGAGGTTCAAAATCTGGCCTCACACAACCTTATTTACTAATCTCTTCATCGGAGTATTCCTGCTTAGTTCCATCTTACAATTCTAAGGATATCAGTCTCTTGTCGGTAAAGACCTTCTATTCATGTGGTGGTTGAGGATTGACGCTAAGCTTTCGCAGCCGTGGCAGCGGTTACGGAGCAGAATATGCTCGGCCGAAAATCTTCTGTTTATACCAAGGTTGGTCGCTTGAAGAGGCGAGCCGACGATGCCTGTGAATTCGAAACACTCATGTTTTTCATTTGAACTCGACAGTCGTTGCGGTGGTGTCTTTTTCACTGTGTCAATCGTTGGACAGGAGATATTTTTAACTGAACGACGG